AAACTCCCCAGGTTGGGGATATAGCTCAATTGGTAGAGTGCTTGCCTGACACGCACAAGGCCCTGGGTTCAGTCCCCAGCACCACAACCCCCCCAAAATTAAAAAGCCCCCTGTTCTTGCTGATGGGCAGAATCACAGCCGTTGGGACAGGAGTCTCCTGTGTTTCTCTTTTGCTAGCAAAGAAATAAAACATTCTTTTTTCTTTTCTCAAAACCACGTTCCCGTTATTGGATTGGCATCAGGGACTCGGACCAAGCTTTCAGCAACAATCTGCCTGCATCTCAGCAGGTGCTCCTAAACAAATGGTAATCACTGCACTTATTTCTAAAATGAGAACTTTGGCTTTTTAAAATTAATTATTTGGGGGACTGAGGATTGAACCCAGGGGCGCTTTACTACTGAGCCACATGCTACATACCTTGATCCTTTTAATTTTTTGTTAAATTGCTGGGACTGGCTTAGAACTTGCCGTTCTCCTAGCTAGGATTACAGAAGGGGACCAACACAGCCTGCTCCTTTTATTTTTTGTGACAGGGTCTTGCTAAGTTGTTGAGGCTGGCCTGGAATTTATGATGTTCCTGCCTCAGCCTCCCTAGCGGCTGAGATTATAGACTGCCTTGACTTTGTTCCTTTTTTTAAAAATATTGATTTTTTAGAAGTAGTTGGACATAATACCTTAATTTTTGTTTATTTATTTTTATGTGGTGCTGAGGATAAAACACCATGCCTCATGCAAGCTAAGTGAACACTCCACCTCTGAGCCACAACCCCAGCCCAAAGGTTTTTTTTTTTTTAATCTTATTTATTTATTTATTTTGGTGGGGTTCTTTTTTTTTTTTTTTTTGTCTTTTTTGGAACTGGGGGTCGAACCCACTGAGCTACATCCCAGCCCGGCTTTGTTCCTTAAGACCTTTCTTCAATGTGACTTTAAGTCATCAGTACTCCACCTTCCAGGGCGTTTGAATTCAAAGTGTACTGGGCCAGGAACTGGCGAGCAGGAAAAGATACGGCGGAGGTCTCTAGAGGCCACTATCACGACTGAGAGCACATCAGGCCACCTCTACTCACAAGGATAGCACAAGCAAACCCGCAAGCGCGCACGTGCCCACTGTAATTCCCCAGTACCGGTATGCACTGAATTGAAAATGCGAGGAGGGTCACAGGATGACGTAATCCTCCCGCGCAGCGCAACCATGACGTCCCAGGTACCGCGCGCCTAGGCGCAGGCGCACGACCTTCGTGAGCGGGACTCCGGAGGGGGGAGCTAGAGTACGGAGCCACGGATTGGTGAGTCTGGAGGCCGACGGTTGGCTCCTCTCGCCACACGTACACGCACAGAGCCTGCGCGGGGCGGGAGAGAGCGAAATTCAAGCTCCAGCGGAGATACTTGGAATCTTATCTGAGGGTCATGGAGCTCTCCCAAGGCTTGGCAAAAGGCGAGACTTTGAGCCCAGAGCAGACTGCCCAGTACATGAGGTATGTTTGGGCCTCCAGGCTGGTGTAGCTCGCAGGCCCTGCCGCGGCGGGGTAAGGGTGGCCCTCGGACCCTCCCAGGGGGAGGCCGAAGCGGAGCATTGTGAGGCTGGCTCCTGCATTCCCATGGGAGTAGGGAATAAGAATAAGTTCTGGACATTTATCGCATTCCTAGTCTCGGGAATCCCCGACACCGTCCTCCCCGTTGGCCAAATAACCCTCCATTATGAGCGTCTGGAGAACCAAAACTTCCAACTGATTAAGTAAACCCTCCTTTGGTCTTTTCAACCTACCAAGCGCCAGGACTAGGGATGAGAGAAACACTGTCCCTGTCCCCAAATTGTGTGTAATCTAATAGTGGGAATAGACCTGCAAACCAATACTTAACTATAATGTTATAAATGTTTAAGTGTTGTTTAATGTGCAGGGGAACAATCTCAGCGGAGGAGGAAACATTTCAGCTGTGTGTTGAAAAATGAATAAGCATTCACCAGATGGCTGATGGTATGGGGCATGGTGATGTGGGGATAAATATTTCAACTTAAAAAAATTGTAAAATATGCATAACATAAAATTTACCACCTTCATAATTTTAAGTGTATAGCTCAGTAGTGTTAAGTGTCACACATTTTTGTGTATCCCATCTCCAGAACTTTTGTATCTTGACAAATTAAAATTATTCCCAATAAACTCTCCATCTCCCCCACCCCTCCTCCCTAGCATACACCATTCTTCTGTATGTCTGTGAATTTGACTACTTTAGACACCTATAAAGTGGAGTCGTACAATATTTATCTCTGCCTTGCTTATTTCACTTAGCACAGGTCCTCAAGGTTGTCCATGTTGTGTCATGTGACAAGATTTCCTTTTTAAGGCTATATTCTATTGTGTATACCACATTTTGTTCTTGTATTTATCTGTTGATAGGCATTTAGCTTGTTTCTGTATATTGACTAGTGAATAATGCTGCAATGAACATGAGACTGCAGATACTTCTTTGACATACTGATTTCAAATCCTTCGGCTATATACCTAAAAGTGGGGTTGCTGAATCATATCTATTTAATTTTTTTTAAAGAGAGAGAGAGAAATTTTTAATGTTTATTTTTTAGTTTTCGGCGGACACAACATCTTTGTTTGTATGTGGTGCTGAGGATCGAACCCTGGCCACACACATGCCAGGCGAGCGCGCTACTGCTTGAGCCACATCCCCAGCCCTATTTAATTTTTTAAGAGGCAGGATCTCTTTATGTTGTCCAGGCTGGCCCCAAACTCCTGAGCTTAAGTGATCCTTCTGCCTTGGCCTCCCCAGGAGCTGGTACTACAAGCACATACCACCACTCCTGACTTTTAAGTCATTGCTTTTCTCTTTCGTTCCTTTTGTGTGTGTGTGTGTATACACAGGCGCTGGATATTGAACCCAGGGTTTCTAAATACCAAGCACCTACCCTTAATTTTTTGAAGAACCTCATACTGTTTTTTACAGTGGCGACACCAATTCATAGTCCCATCAACAGTGTACAAGGGCTCCAATTTCTCTACATCCTTGTCAATGCTTGTTATTATTTGTTTTTTTAAAGAGTAGCCATCCTAACAAGAATGAAATGGTATCTTGTTGAAAGGATACTCGCAAAGTCTACAGAAAGTCCAAGGACCACACCACACACCGAAATCCTACTCAAGAGAGTTATTGTCAGAGCATGGAGCAAACTGACAAGGCTATCCCTCCGAGGAGAGCAGCAGTGTGTTGGTACTTACAGAGCAGCTTTATAGCCTGCAAGAGGAATTTCACAAACATGCTTAGGGGTTACACCATGGGCTGGTGTGGGGTTGACCCTTTAGTAGGCACATGTTCTTAAGGGAGGCTAAGCAGCATTGCCTCAGGATCTCTAGATAAATTGGCTCCTAAATTGAAACCTGGGAGTCCCTGAATAAAATGGCTCCTAAATTGAAACCTAGGAATCCCTAGATAAAATGGCTCCAAACCTAAAATGGTGGATCTAATGCCAGTATTGATCTGATGCCAATAGTTGTGGTTTCAATTTGCATGTCCCTACTGAATAAGTGTTTTTCATACTCTTTTTGTGTACTTACTGGCCTTTGCATTACTGGGGATTGAACCCAGGGGTGCTCTGTCACTGAGCTACATTCTCAGCCATTTTTTTGTTTTTTATTCTGAGACAGTGTCTTGCTGAGTTGATCAGGCTGGTCTCAGCCAAGTTGCTGGGATTATAGGCATGTGCCACTATTCCTAGCTTGCTTATTTTTCAGTTAGGATTCTTTTGTTGTTGTTGAGTTGTTGTTCTTTATATCTGGATATTAACATATCTATTTGTGATTTGTATTTTCTCCAATTGTGCAGATTGCTTTTTAATCTCTCTTTTTTTAAAAAAATTATTGTCTAGGGCTGGGATTGTGGCTCAGTGGTAGCGCACTTGCCTAGCATGCATGAGGCACTGGGTTCGATTCTCAGCACCACATAAAAATAAATACAATTAAAGGTCCATCAATAATTAATTTAAAAAATTATTGTCTAAGTTGCCTTTTCACTGTGTTTGATTATGTCCTTTGATGCACAGAAGTTTTTTTTTTTCTTTGACACAAGTATGTATTCGTTTTACTCATAAAACAGCCCAGTTTCCTAAAACAGTGCAGGTTGCTTGTTTATCATCTATCTGGGGCATCCAGGCCACAGGGAATCCCCTGTATACCCACCCTTATGGGCTGGTGACCATGCAAAGAATCCCCTTTTTTTCTGTACCCATCAGCAAGGCCAGAAAAAAGGACTTTTCTCTAAAGGAAGTAGCCAGGATCAGAAATATCAACCTACAGGGCTTCCCAGATCTCAACAGATAAATACTTTCATTTTTCCAAAATCAGCACTGTTGGGTGGGAGACTGTGGGCGCAGCACAGCTACCTATGCTTCTCCTCACCATCTGAGCTCTTTGCCAGCACTTGTAGGTGAAAACATAGGGGCATTTACACAGCACCATTAACTTTGCTAGTCCATTTTCCAAGTGGATTTTTCAGGTGAACTGCACTGTTTCATAGTTGGAAAGATACAAGGGAAGTTTAAAAGAAAGTGGAGTTAAACTCTGATGTATAGAGATTTTTATAAAAAGGGGTTGGGGTTGTAGCTCAGTGGTAGAACACTTGCCTTGTAAGTTTGAGGCACTGAGGTCAATTCTCAATGCTACATATAAACAAATAAATAAAGATGAAGGCCCATCAACAACCAAAAAACATTTTTTTTTGGTACCAGGGATTGAACCCAGGGGAGTTTAACCAATGAGCCACATCCCCAGCGATTTTAAAAGCATATTTTAGTTTGAGACAGGGTCTCACTAAGTTACTTAGGGCCTCTCTAAATTGCTGAGGCTGGCTTTTAAAAAAAATTAGTTGTAAATGGATACAATGTTTTTATGTATTTATTTTTATGTGGTGCTGATGATTGAACCCAGTGCCTCACACATGTGAGGCAAGCACTCTACCACTAAGCCCCAGACCATGAGGCTGGCTTTGAACCTGATTATCCTCCTGCCTCAGCCTCCCAAGTCACTGGAATTACAAGCATGGGCCACTGTGCCCAGCTTAGAAGTTTTAAAATTTTGATGTAGTACAAATAAATAAATTGGGCTATGTGTAGTGGCACAGGCCTGTAAATCCAGCTACTCAGGCAGCTGAAACAGGAGAATCACACATTCAACATTAGCTTCAGCAACTTAGCAAGACTCTGTCTCAAAATTAAAAAAAAAAAAAATTTAAAAGGACCGGGGGGTGTAGCTTAGTGGTAGGGTACCCCTAGGTTCAATCCTCAGTACCAAAAACCAAAAAAGCACAAAGAAAGAAAATAAATAAATTGGGACAGTAGAATAATTCTATTTCTGTTATTAAAAACAAAATTTTTTAAGGTGCTGATGTCTTTGGATTCATTACATTGCTTTCTTTTCTATCTTTCTTTTTTTTTTTTTTGTACCGGGGATTGAACTCAGGGGCACTTGACCACTGAGCCACATCCCCAGCCCTTTTTTATGTATTTTATTTAGAGACAGGATCTCACTAAGTTGCTTAGCACCTCACTTTTGCTGAGGCTGGCTTTGAAATCACAGTTCTCCTGCCTCAGCCTCCCGAGCCACTGGGATTACAGGCCTGTGCCACCATGCCCAGTTTACACGGCTTTCTTAAGAAGGCTTGAGGTTGTGTTTTTAGTAGAGTGCTGGCTTCAGAGTTGGGTCATTTTACTTTTTTCAGTGCTGGGGATTGAGCCCAGGCCCTTCCCTATGTTTGGGCAAACACTCTCCCACTGAGCTACATCCCTAGCCCAGGTTGGGTTGTTTTAGATTCAAATTACTGGCACTGGGCTGGGGGTGTATGTCAGTGATGGGCACTTGCCTAGCATTCATGAAGCCTTATGTTCTGTCCCCTTCATACTAGCTCAGTGACCTCAAGCAAGTGTCTTGAGTATATTGAACCTCATTTTTTTTCATCTAGAAAATGGTGATAAAGAGGCTTAGGACCTTTAGCCCTCCTTACCACCCATTCCCTAAGCAAGCAAGTGATTTCCCCACCACTGTGCCTTACACTGACACTTTTCTCTTGCTCCCAGGGGTACCTTCTTGAACCTTCTCAAACAATTCTTTTCACCCCCTCCCTGCAGCAATCACCCCCCTCCTCTCACAATCCTTATCTT